AAAAATTGTTTTTCTTTATTTCATTTTCGTTTTGCTTGTATAATTCCTGCATGAATGAATCGTTCGTTCGTTCGTTCGTCTGGTGTTTTTCCTTTGCCATAGACGACTACACGAGCGAGGCAAGAAAAACAACTCCCTAAGTGTTTTTCCAAGAATTTCTTTTTCTTTATTGTTGTCTTTTAATGATGATTTTTCATGTCGTTGTTGTTACTTTTGTTGTGCATTTAATGTATGTACTTCTTATTGAGGGGGATTATGAAGAAGTGAGTGGAAAAATATGGGCTAGAGATAAGAGAAGCGGAGGCGTTCGAACGGTCTGGTCCGTTCCTCTTCCAACATGGATGTCTGTGAATGGTGGTGGCGGCGGCTTCTTATTTCTGTGTAAACAGCATGCTTGAGAAATCGCATGAAAAGCAAAAAAAAAAAAAAATTAAGAAGAATCCATCAAGTAACAGCTGAGTAATTTGTTATTGTATGGAAAACTACCCATCTAAAAGAAATGTTTGTTTCGAGGGGAGATAATACCACCCACCACTTTTAGGGAGATATGTTACAACATTTTATTCAATAAACATAAAAAAAAAACCGAAGAAAGTGACAAAAACAAATACCAAAAAGCGATGAGAAATTCCAAATCATGTGGGTGCCATGATTTCAAATTCCGGCAACCAGGACCGGACTTTTTATATTTTATCAATTAATGATATTTTGAATATTTTTGAATTAAATATAATTTGCATTGAAAAAAGAAATAAATACTACCAATTCCAAATAAATTTCCTTTAAAAAAAAACGACCGACGACACGTGGAGACTTTTTTGTGCAACAACATCCGTTGAGTGTTATTCTTCGTTTTGCTTTTTGTAATAGACACACCAAGAGCCACCAGCCAGGTTGGTTGGTGGAGAGGTGGCAAGGAGAGGTGTAGATTGTGTGGTCAATTGGCGCCAGTCGTAAAGCAAACGACCGTGTTAAGATTATTTACAGCAATGTTTTTTTTTTTTTTTTTTTTTTGTCTTCGTCTACAGCAGCAACATTGTCAGTCAGTCAAAGCTTTTTTTGTCATTCTTATGCTTGTCGTTGGTGTTGTTTTGCCCTGGTTTATTGTTAGTGTGCCAACAACACCAAACACAGCAGGCTTTGTTTTTGGCTGAGAGACAATTAGCCAAGAATGCGGTCGTAATATTAGAAATGTTCATATGTAAAGCAGGAGCAGCAATTGAATGGGGCAAAACAGAAACAAAGACAGATCAACATTTTTTTTAGCACCCAAACAGCCCCTCCGCTCTGTCGCGCTCTCTTTTTGGATATTGGACTTGGCCATTTGTAAGAAAATAACATATGTCTATTTTCAGCCCAAGTCTATTTATGTTAATTTTTGTTTTTTTTTTTTTTAAGAATAAAATCTACTTTCAATGTGGGTGGTTGCTTGCTTGCTTGCCTGCCTGTCGCTGTAAGCCTTTGGTTTTTTTTTTTTTTTGCTTTAACCCAGTTTAAGGTGTGGGTGAGATATTTGTCACAAGTGTGGCAAGATCAATAAATATCGATTGTAAAACAAGGGAGAAGAAGGAGGTGAAAAGTTTTCAACACCATAAACTCAAAGAATTACCTACCTACTTGCGGCCGCTCGGAATGCGGGAGTATGCTAATGGAATAGGAAATTTTTGCCCGACAAGTTTAGAAGGCAATGCAATGTGATTGGGTGTGTGGTGGGAAAGAGTAGTAGTACTATGATTACAAATTAGTTCCTTATTTGAACAAAGAGTTTGATTTTTAGAAGAGAAAAAAACGCACAATTGAACCTTGAACCCCCGAAGGTTCAAATATGGGAAATTGTGTTTATTGAAACACTTGGTTCATCTTGGCTAAAAAATGAACCACAGGGTTCATTATGAACCTCTGGATTCATTTTGTGAATATTTGGGTTCATATTGAAGCCTTAGTTTAAATGTGACTTCTTGTGTTCACAATGAAGATTTGGGTTCAAAATAAATCACTCGCAATGTAGTATTGTGTTTACAATGAATCTCGTGGTTGCACAATTAACTTCTGGCTTGGCAACTAATTTTAATGTGTTCATATTAAAGTCCTCTGGATGCTCAATGCACCTCAAGATATGTTGGTTTAACACGAACTTTTCGATCGCTAACGAAACTTCATGTTTACCATGAACTTTGGGCCGGTCCACATTTTTCATGACCTTAAGGATACTCTCTGGGGGGGGGGGATCTCATTGATCCCCTGTGACCTTATGGCAGCATAATGATACTCTATTGGGCAATATCGATTCCCTAAGAATCTCAGGGATCATATTGTTTCAATTTATAACGACTCTCTAACTATCTCGCTCTGCCCTCTCCCTTTCTTTCTCTGCATCACAATGAACTAATTAGCTCATTGTTTAAACCGTGCTTGTATTCATCTCAATCTACCCTTTCACAAATTCTTTTGAACATTTCTCGGCCACCTGATTGGGAATTTCCGATTGGAATTCCTAAATGGGGGGATTGACGTCAAACTTCGACCAAAATAAAAATAAAAAAAAATAATGTTTTTGTTTTTTACGATATTGCGGTTGTTTTTGACTCCACAAACAAGAAAAAACCCAAAAATCGTTCACCTAAAAGCGTAGCACAAAAATTGCTGTTTAAAAGCGTTTTCTTTTTTTTTTCTTTGTTTTTATTTCGTTAAGGTTATGGTGATAAAGTTTTTGTATAGCTTTAAGTTGTTGCTAGCATTTATGGCATAGAAATCACGTACAAAATCAAAAGATAATCACCGCCACATACACAAGAAAAATAAATACAACAACAACGACAACAACAACAACAAAAATTTAAAAACGATAAAAAACAAAATAAAAATTTCTTTCAAGTCAGGTGTTGTGCGTGATTTGATAACTTGCGATGAGATTTCAATATAGGCTGGGGGGTAGGAGAGGGGCAAGAGGTCTCCGACTACGGGAGGGGGGTCAGTCAACAATCATAACATGACAAAATAAAAACAAAAACAAATGGGGATTTTTTTCTTAAAGTGATGATAACAAGACAATCACTCGCTCGTTCGCTTGTTGTCCACAGCGGAACAAAGATGTTTTGTTAAAGTTTTTTTTTCTTTTTGAAAACGAAGAAGTGCTAATCAAAATGTTTATGTTTTCTTAATAAATTCAAAGAATTTCGAAAATAAAAACAAAAACAAGCACCAGCAGTTTGTTGTGATAATTACAGCAAGTGTGTCTCGCAGGGCTGTTGTTGTTGTTTTAGTTCCAGTGCCAGAAAAAATTGTAATATTTATTGATAATCAATTTTGAAATGGAATGGTGAAAAAATCGAAATCAAGACTTAATTAACAATGGATCTAGTTTCCAATGTTCTAGATACACAACTGTCCGCCCCTTAAGCCGCTGGACAAACAAGACTCGTATCAGTTCGGCGGCCAGACTGACTTGCAGTCATTGCATGTGTCATTGTCGTCCGAGAGCTGGGAAGAAAATAATAAAAACAAAAAATCCACATAATAAAACAAGCAAGCAGCAATGGAGGGAAAAAGTCGTGGGGGCTAATGCAGAGGGGGGGATCCTCCACCACGAAAGGCCACTGTGTAAATAAAAATGTAAACAACTGCTTATGCCATAATAACACAATTGCTTAGGTTTTGCTTTTATAATTTTCTTTCCGTATTTCACATGAGAGCGGTGTTGTTTGCGGGTTTTGAAAAATCCAACACTACTGAAAACTGAGCGACACGTGTAAGCGATAAAAATGTGTTTTTTGCCTTCGTCTTTATGTTTAATTTACATTCAACTGGGTTTAGTTTCAATTCCCTAGTGTTTAGCTATTATTACTTGAAAACCATGGCGACTAGTTTTGGAATATAAAGAAGAAAAAAAAAACAACAACATACCGAGAGTGAATGACTCTAAAAACAATGTCTATTTCATACATGTGGAACTCATCATTTTTTGTTGTTTCTTGAGCTGTTTTGAACGGTATTTTCAAGTATTGTTGCTGGAAGTAAAAGTGAATGGAAAGTTGTAAGAAGATAGAGAGGAGTGGAGGGGGGGAGCAGCACAGCTAAGTGTGTTCGGTCGATTTTTATTTATTTTTCATGATGTGTTTAAAATTTCGTGTGAACAAGACATTTGGTCGCTCAACAGCATTTGATACTCTACATTGTTTTTTTTTTCGGGAGGTTTCTATTTGATTTTGGTGGGAAAAATGACCATTAATTTGAAGAAAAAATGAAAACTTTATTATGTGGTCTCGGGGGGGGTTGGTGGTACTTGTGACAGAAATAGATTTTGTTTTAATAGAAAAAAGAAAAGAAACTGTAAATGAAGCTATTTTTAGAAAAAAGAGGTTAATGGCAGAAAAGTGTTTACACGTGTGTTTGGGTGTGTGTTGGAATGTAAACAGAAAAAATCTAAAAATATAAATTGAAAACACTTGAGAAAAGCGTGGCTATAAACAATGTGAGCCACTTTAATCACAACACTTTTTCTTAGAAATCTATTCAATTTAACATTTTATTAAACACGGTCTTTAAGAGTTTGGATTTTAATTCCCATGACCATAGGTATATTTTCTTTGGCGACAAACAACAAATTGATAAGATATAAAAAAATCAAATTTTAATGGAATATTGTTTACTCTCAAAAAATATGTAATTACTCTATCTTCGATCTTGAGTTAGAATTTTGGGTCTGAACTTAGATCAAGATCAAAGATAGACTATATCGGCCAACTCTTTCCTATAGTCCCCCCACCATCATCACGGCACCCTCCCATTTTAAACATTTCCACGATTTTCGGCACTTTTTTAACGGGATTGTCTGGGTTCCTAAAAAATCTCTGTACCTTTATTTTATATCTGTTCGATTTAAATATTGCTAATTTTTTTTAGTGGAACTTTTTTTACATTTTCATATTTTTGATCTACCACATAATTTTCTCTTAAAAATAATAATAATAATAAAAAGCAATTTTAAGATTTCTACTTACTTGCATATTCACGTTTCGTATTGACATCGACCGCCAAATAGACCGTGCTGAAACTGCCCTCACCAATGTATTTACCAAAAATAAAATCTTTTGGCGATTTCTTTGGCGGTGTAATGGCATTATTGGCGGCAGGTGGTGATGATTTTGCAGGATATAGATTTGTTGAGTTATTTTGATGATGATGATGGTGGTGGAGGGAGGATGCTGTTGTGGCGGCTGATGATGACATTCCCGATGTAGATGATGATGACGATGCGCAGGAGGATGTATGTGATGAGGCTAGGGGTAAGGTTTCACAGCTACCATTTGTTTGTTGTTGCTGCTGCTGCTGTTGTTGTTGTTGGTAACGTAGTCGACAACATGTTGTATTACTAGCGGCACTACTGGCCGTAGATACTGTTGACGCCGTCGACAAACGTTGTGGTGATGACGAAGGTGATGAAGAATTTTGAGCGGCCAAGGCAGCCGTTAGGGGCGATGAGTGCCCTGCAAATAAACAAAGAAAAAATTTTCACGTTGCAAATCTAAAACAAAGATTTCAAGTCGTCTTTTTTGATATTTACCATTTAATCGTTGCTGTTTTTCAATGGAGATTTGCTCCAGACATCCTAACATCTTGGATGTGGCTGTTGTTGAGGTGGTTGGTAAAGGAAGCTGCTGTTGACCGTTAATCTGGAAATAAACAATGAGAGAATATTTTTAGAATTCGTTCCAAAAATTCCATAATTTGAATGATTTTTTTGTGCTTTTTTGATTTTTTTTCGTTTTGTTATTTGTGTCAAAACACAAAGAATGAACAACAAAACTGAGGCAATTTTATGATTATTTTTATTGCGTTTTAAAAAACAAGACAAAAAAAAAATCAAGTATTGAACTGTGGACCTTTAAGTCATTCGAAAAGAAATATCACAAAATACAGATATTTGGCAAAAAAAAAAAAAAAAAAAAAAACATATATATTCATTCAGAAAAAAACGAGTTAATAAAACAATAATAAAATACAAAAATGTTTAAAACTTTGTATTTTGTATTGAATTGTGTTCAGTACAAAATACAAAAAAATCAAACTTAGAGGGGAGGGGAGCCAGGCAAAGCGATTCGAAAAACATATATATGGGAAGGTTGTTTAAACTGTGTTTCGTTCGTCGTCGTCGTTTTGTTAAGAAACCAAAAAAAAAAGAAAACAAAGCGAGCGGTCGCCGAAAAAAGGTGAGTTAACTCTCATCAATAATTTCATTAATGGTTAGAAGGTCATTAGTGACGTAGATCCCCCCTCCTAAGATAAAGAAACCAACAGCAGACTAAAAGACAAATAGACTCAGACAGTTTGACGTACATCATTATGGCCAAAAAGCAATAACAACAACAAAGCAGTGAACAAAACGAAACTAATGAAACCAAACAAAATATCATAAATTAGACACAGTTAAGTCTTTTTTTTTTTTTTTTTTGGTTGAGACTGGTTGGATTTCGTTGAGATTTTCGGGTCATCTTGATCATCAAAAGGAAAGTTGAAAGGTATATATATTAGATAAAACAGGTGCCAAAACAAAGCCAAAGATCTTTGATCGAAAGCAAAAGAAGAAAATCGATTTCATTCCAAATTTCCAAGTCCCCTCTTTGATGTTTAGCGCCAAAATGTATTACTTCTTTTTTTGAGTTTTGTTTTTTTTCGGCATTGACCTTATATGGAATTCTAGAGATTTTGGTTTTTACACAAAATATTGTCAAAGTAAACTGAGTGTGTGTGAGAGAAAAAGAGAATAAATAAATTATGATCTCATGCTACCGTAACAATGTCTGTCTGTCTGTCTGTCAGACCCATTACTCATGCCAACCCAGAGGCTAGCAGCAACCAGTCAGTATTCAATAATAGTATAAAATACGCATTTAAAAATAAAAGAAACTATAAAACAAAAACAAACAAAAAACGCAAATTAAAATGAAATATTTTTGCTGTTCGACAAACACCACAAACTCCCCCATACAAAATTCCAAGAAATGCAAATTGTAGTGACGAGCCAAAGACATTAAGTCATAGTTTGAACCAAATGAAGAAAAAAAACACGCAAAACGGTTATAGATAAATAAAGGATTTTGAATTAAAAAATTAAAAAATAAAATGACATAATTAATAAATTAAAAAATATTTAATAATGAAAAAAAATAATGAAAAAAATACAAAAAAGTTAAATTAAAAAAAAAAATTAATAAAGTGAAAAAAAAATTAATAAATAAACAGAAACAGTTATAGATAAAAAAGGATTATGAATTAAAAAATCAAAAAAAATGTAATAAATAATAAATTAAAAAATATTTAAAACTACTTAAAAGAAAAGAAACTGAAAAAAATAAAGTGAATAAAATAAATAAATAATATAAAATAAAAATAATTAAAAATCCAAAAATATATAATATAAATAATTTTTTTCATTATTTTTTAATATTTAAAAAATATAGAAAACTTAAATTTAAAAAAATAAAAAAGTAAATACAAAATACATAATATAAATAATTTTTCAATATTTGATATGTTTACTTTTTTTAAACAATTTTTTTTTTTTGTAAAATTTCACCTAAATAGTAAACTAAAGAAATAAAAACTACAACCAAAAAATTATTTTATTGCATGCCAAGTTTTGTACACTTTGCATGACTAGTCGACATGATTACTTTAATAACGCCCACAATAAAAAAAATGAAACAATAAAACAATTGCCATTTTTCTCCCGTTAGTGTTTTAATTTTCATTGAAGCATTGGCAAAAGATTGCAGTTAGAAATAGATTGTGTGCTGGTGGCGCCCAACTTATTATTATGCCAGTGTTGTTTTGGTTTTGCAAACGAACACAGAAAAAAGAGGTAAGCTTTCTTTGGCAGACAAAAATTTCGCTGATAATTTGTCTTGGAAAAGGATTTCCTTTCATGTTATTGCTTTTTTTTTCTATATAATATATAGCATTGGCTTTAAATATTCTAAGAATAAAAATAAGAACAACAGCAGCAACAAACAACAGCTATGAATAAAGAAATCTGGCACACAGGCTCGCCGTCGCCATTTGCACCTTGTCTAGTTGTTTTGTTTTTTTTTTTTTTCGTTATTTTTTCTTGTCTAGTAATGTATGTCGATTTTTTTTTTTTTGTAAATTTTGTTGCTGTTTCTTTTTTTCGTGTATTACTTAAATGACGCTCTGATTATTCTTAGAGGTGCCATGATGACGCCCGTTACACTAGCAACCATGAGATACATATTTTGTGACATTTTTTGTTTTAAACAAAATTCAATTGCAATTACCCTTCCCTCGACGAAATGGCAACATTGTATTATTTAAATTCCGAAGAAAAACCTTTTTTGAAATTATTCCTCTTCCTGTGCTCTTAAAAATTCAGCCATTTCTACCTGCCACTATTTGACTTAAAAACACATTTAAATTAGAAGAAAAAATTTAAAATATTCATGAAAACAAATTCTAAATGGACTTTGCTCAGGACATTACACTGGTGTGCAAAATTTGGGGGATGAAAATTAAATTGAAAAAATGAAATTATTTGTTAAAAAAAAAAAAAAATAAAAAAAAATTTAAAAAATCGAATATGTTCATAAGTTTATGAGAAAAAAAAGTAAAAAAATACATATACATTTTTATTAAAAAAAATTATAAACAATTAAAACCTATTTTTTGTTTATAAATATATTATATATTATAAATATATAAATATATTTTTCTATTTATTCAAATTTTAAAAAATATATTTAAAAAGTAGTATATATCACCAATGTATTTTTAATCGAATTGAATTTGAAAACTCAAATAAAAAAATTAAATTACTTTTTTAGTTTACATATTGAATTTATAAACTAAAAATATTTTTCTTTTTCAATTGATTTGGAATTTTCATTTGCAATTAAAAATATTATTTAACTCTGTAATTTTTATATATCTTAAAATAGTTTTATTTACTTTCAAATTTCAAATTTTATGATTTAATGTTCAATATATTCATTTTTTCATCGCAAAAAAAAAAAAAAAAAAAATTGGCATCCTTGTGTAAATTGTAGTTCTTTTGCTTGTTTATAAACATTTGCAAATATCATTGTATATATCATGACATTTTTTTCTCTTTTGTCTATATGTAGCGTTCGAAAAATATTTAATGTATGACAATGATGTGTGTATGTCTGCCTGTGAGTGTAGGCGTTGTTGCAATTCGATCACAAAAATTGTCTAGACAGTTATAGACGTCAGCAAGAAAAAAAAAAAATAAGAACCAAAAAACAAACAAACAAAAAATAGAGTATATTTATGTGTGTGTTTGTAAAGCTATTTAAATATTGTTAAATATTTGTACTCGACGAAATTTTGTTTTCAAATCAGCTGATAGCTATATCTATATACAATGTATTTAATTAAAGAGAATTTTTTTGTTTGTCTTTATTTCCTTCTCCATATGTTTATTTCCTCGAAAAAAAAAATAAGAATACCAAAAATACAATTGTTTCACAAAACAACAGCAAGCACTTGAAAACAGTATGTACTTTGATATTGTAGCCATACAAGTTCAACAAAAACAATAAACAAGAGGAATGAATAAATTGTTGCTTTTTTGGTATTTATTTTTTATGGTATTTTTATGGCGAACACGCGAATTATGATTGCTAGTGCTTATTTTTTTTTTCTAATTAGAAAATAGAGAATAAGAAAAAAAGAGAGAAAAAAACTAATTTACAAACAAAATTCTATTTAAAAAATTTAAATAATTCACTTTTATTTAGCATTTAATGATACTACATACGAGAGAAAGAGAGCAAACATTCACAGACACATATAAAAAATAACGGGTATTCTTTTTTGCCAATGCTCTCGCACAAAAAATTTACATTAAAATATCCAATTTCTAAACAATAATATTTTTCTATTTTATATTTTTAAAATACAATTTTAACAAATAGTTATGAATGAATTTCCTCTTTTTGAAACAAGAAAAAAAAATAATATGTAACACACTAAGTCGTTTTTTTTTTATCCAAACAAAACCCTATACCACATTTCGCAATACTACATTTTTACTCTCATTTGCCTAAACAGAAATCAAGGTAAAATTCCGTTGTTTTGATGATGCTCTGTCTACCCCTCCCCATCCCCCACCAAAACAACAATAACACCAAATAAATGTAACGAGCAGCCAGTCATGCTCAGCACCAGTGTCCGTTTTTCGTAACAACAATACTACTTTTTGCATTAATATTCACCGTTGTTTTGGAAAGGCCAGAGAGATAGAGAGAGTGGCATGAATTCTCTGTTATATGTCTGGTGTGTGGGGCCCACACACCAATTGTAATGAGATGAGGGAGAGCACTATGGAGAAATGTGTGGAGTAGTAAAACTGTAATTGTATACAGAGAACAAGAGACACAACAACCATATAATCAAGACAACTCAGATATAATACGTTGTAGTAGTAAATTCGTTTGGGCTACATTGATAACAGTGATGTTAACTTTGTGTTTTTCATTTTCTCACAAAAAATCAAAATATTTGCAAAAAGTAAATTGAGCAATTTAATATATGCAAATTATAGAATTGGTATTTTGTATTTTTTTTAATTTTATTTTAAAAAATTATGAACTTATTCAATATTATGAGATGAAAACACAACGTATGATAAATAAAAATAATAAATTCTGGTTATACACATAGAATACATCTAACGTTCTTACTATTTTTTACAATTTAAATTAAAAAAATATTTATTTGTATTTTATTAAATTTTAAAGAAATATTAATTTTTTCTGTCTTTGTTTTGAATCTCCAGGGAGAAGAATAACTTACTATGGGGGGACAACGATGAGACCGCCAACAACTTTACTTGCTGGTTGTCTTCTAGGTTATTGTTATTTTTTGCTGACAAGCTTACAGCTTATTTTCTAGATCTAAGTGAAAGAAGATTGGTACGTCGTAGGTTACGGGTCTTTTTTTTGGTGTGAGGGTCGCTCGTTCCACATTCATATATATTGCCTGTGTATGAGGCAGCGCGCAACGTAAGAAATACCGAGAGAGAGAGAGAGAGAAAGAGCGGGAGAGTACAGAGAGAACGCGCGCACTATTCAATTGTTTTGGGGGTCTGACTGCTGCGAACTGCTATAGTTAAATAATAATCGGATTTTTCTTGTTCACATCGGCTGCTGCTTTTTTCTCGTTTCACATACAACTTGTGGTGTTTGTTGTTGGTTTTGTTATTCTAATGATTAAGGAATTCTCCTTTATAGCCACAAGATTTTATTATTCTTTTTCGTTTTTCGTTATTTTTGACTATTTCAATGAGAAAAGCATAACTTTTGCTTGCTTGTTCTTCTTTTATTTTCTTTCTTTATTTAGCTTGACGAATATATATTATGCTTGTGCTTAGGATTATCTCGTTTTAAGTATAGACAAAATTTTCTGCACTTTATATAGGTATTTTGATCTTTTTTTGCGTTGGAGAAGTTGTTTGTTTTTGTATTTAGGTATTTATTTGAACACAGACTTTTAACATTGACATTAACACAAAAAAATATTTAACATATTCAAATACATATCACAATTTTAAATTTTTTTAAAAAAAATTAGACGACGATTTTAACTAATTTGTTGGTAACAGGAAAAAAAAATGATTGAAGACACACCACAAAAAAATTTACTAAATTATTTTATTTTTGCTAAATTGATTTTATTTTTTTATTTTTCCTTTGAGTGAACACTTTCTGGTTACATAGGTTGTTTGGTTGTTTTATTTCCAAATTATCATTTTGTTTTGGATGATTTATTTGCCTTGATAAATTTTCTGATTTTTTTTTCTTATTTTGCTTCACCGAACGAATGCGAGGAGTAGCTTTGTGGGTTTTTTGGTATACCGTTTCACTGTAAGCGCCACAAAAAACTAATCAAGAATGAATGTATAAAGAAACAACATTGTCAGCAACGACCTGGCTGGCTAGTTGCCTGTTTGAATCAAAATAATAACACACACATTTACAGAGAGAGAGAGAGAGAGAGAGCAAGAGACTCATATAGAAATATGAGTAAACGCCACCACTGCTACACTGGCTCCGCATTTGATATCAACACATATATACTTACACACATTCAAGCAAACTGCCTAAATTCTGTATCATTTGGGGGGATACTCTCAATTTCCAATGAGTAAAAGTTAGTCAGCATTTTTAAATCTAATTGGGAGGGGGCCAAACAGAGAGATGATGGAGAGAGAGATAGCATGTGTGTGAATACGAGTGTAACCCAAGAGAGCTGACATTTAATTGTTGGGGGGAAACTGAACAAGTGTTGTTTATTAAAAAAATTATCAAGTGTTGTCAATTTAGCGATTTTTTTGAAATAATAGATAAATAAAAAGCAATTTATGTGTAAAACTACCAAAAATAAGAAATACGTTTTTTAACTTTTTCAATGTAATATATTTAAAGGTTTTGTCGGTTTCATGAGAAATAGTTAACAGCACTTAGATGTGTTAGAACATGGCGAGTTTATGTGATGATGAAGAACAACATGGAGTTGCTGTTGTCCGTACAATCGAATTCATAACAATGTTTACACATAGTTGTTGTTTTAAAAATAACTGTGTGTGGCGCTTTGGTGTCTGCATTATTTTTGTTGCTGTTGTTGTTTATTATTATTGTTTTTGTTTTTGGGGGAATTTAGTTTTGCAGCCTCAAGTGTTTGGAAATTTCATCTCATTTTCTCATAAATACATACAAACAGAAAAACACACTCGCACACAGACAGAGCAAACAAAAATAACAAAAACATTGGATGGATGGATTTTTGCAATAAATGTCTTCTGCAAAATGGGAGACTTGACTTGGTCGGTATTTTATTTTTGTTTATGTTGCTCTCCGCTATTGTGTTGTGTTGTCCTCCAGCACATCATAAGTATGTTAAGTGGGCTGACTTTGGTCAAAGCCATTTAATGGTGTCGATGTTGTTGTTATTGTTGGGGTTTGAGTTTGGTTGAGTGGAAGATAACCGGATAACCCCCCATCCCCACAAAAGCCTGCAGTTTAGCTCTCAGTTAAAAATAAATAAATATGAGAAAGGTATTTTGATTTCTCATGGTAGGTACATATTCAAAAAAAAAAAACATATATTGGTTGGTGGGTAGATAATATGTGTGACTTTCCATGGGACCAGCATATTTTTGAGATTGTTACTGGCAGGGCTCTTGAAATTATTATCAGCTATAAAAGCAACAACAAACACATACTACATTTAACAGCAAACGGGTACACATAAAGATGCCGCTAATCAATCAATCATTTTGTACTGAATAACTACCAAAAAAATACCACAATATAATAAAAGAGCCATTGATATAAATAACAAAAGTAAATTTCGAATGGGAATTATGTAAATAGAGGTTTATTTCTGTTATTGTTGTTAAAACTGGGTATGTAGAGACATTTTAATATTAAAAAAATCAGAAATAAGGTTGGATCAACAAATGGGATTGTGGAAGGTATAAAACTGTTTTCAAATTAAAAAAAAAAAATTTTTTGTTTGAATTTTGTTAATATAAAATGAAATAGCAAAATATATCTAAACGTACTTTTGAAGGATTGTGGAATATGGATTACGAATTTTGTTTCAAAATCATTTTTTTACTGTAATGAAAGGTTTTCGATTTCCCAATATGTGGTGAAAGACCCCAGAGCCGCTGCATAATTCTACCAACTCGAAATAAAAATTATAGCAATTACTCAGCAAGAAAAATAAAAATTAAAAACAAAATGATTTACAAACTTGCCATGAAAACCTCAACTAAATTGAGAGACAAAACAATTCTAAATACAATAACAAACAACAACAACAGCAACAGCAATGTCTTGCGTATTGAGGTCATTGTCGTTTCACTTTGAAAATCAATCTATGGCCGTAAGGCAGGCAACAGCAGCAGCAAAACAAAAACAAAACAAAACAAAAATGAGATAAAAACATTTTTGTAAACCAAAAAGAAAAGAAGAAAAACAACAACAATTTACAGAGCTATTATTATTGTTTATATACATTTTTTTTACTTTTTGAATACAAAATTTTTGAAATAGTTTTGTGTGTTTTTTTTTTTTTTCTAACCAAATTTAAAGTAATTTATCATTGTTTGGAGAATGGTAAACTATCTATGAATGAATAGATGACACTGAGCGTTGAGACGATTGGAGGGAGGATAATGGTGTTTGAGTTTTAATTTTCGTGGAATAATGATGTGGAAGATGATTCAAGGAAATTTAAAAAAAATATATTTATCATAACTTAAATGCAAATGTTTGGAACAACTCTAGTTTAGTAAAAACTCTTAGATTTTTTCGAAATTTTTTCCAGAGGTAGGTATTTTTACCCTGATCCCGGAAACTATTTTTTTTCTTGGGGGACGGACCCGGGACCCCAGATTTTTGACCCAAAAGTCCGGGATCAAGACCCCGCCTGGACCCGGATCCACTTACCCGATATAGACAATATGGGTATCGATTGAAAGCTTATGGAAATACCTATCCAACAAGTGGTCACATGAAGGGGTAAGTTTTCATGGTTCGGAAGTTATAGTCAAATTATCGATTTTTTGGACCCGGATTTTTTATGAAACCCCCAAAAAGTCAAAAAAGGGCCCATTATGGGGGTCAACAAAATTGTTTCCAAATTATAGCTGACACTCTTACCTTTCCAAAATGCTACAATTTGTGCTAATACCTTTTTCGGTTCCAGAGATATGGGTCTTTCCATCCGCATAACCCGATTCTAACCAGTTCATTAAAATTATGTTTTTAATAAAAAAAAGTGTTTATTTCGCGTAGCAGTCGTCGGAATAACAAAAGTTTTCTAAATTTGGCACTTTTTGTAAATAGCCGGCCTTCGGCCGGGGCTTGAGATTTTCACCTATGGGTATGTCCTACACCGGCTAACGCGAACAAAAGGTTCATAATTTCGGCACTCTTTGTAAATAGCCGGCCTTCGGCCGGGGCTTGAGATTTTCTCCTCTGGGTATGTCCTACATCGGCTAACGCGAACCAAAGTTTTCTAAATTGGATACCTTTTGTAAGTAGCCGGCCTTCGGCCGGGGCTTGAGATTTTCTCCTCTGGGTATGTCCTAAACCGGCTAACGCGAACCAAAGTTTTCTAAATTTGACACTTTTTGTATATAGCCGGCCTTCGGCCGGAGCTTGAAATTTTCTCCTCTGGGTATGTCCCACACCGGCTAACGCGAACCAAAGTTTTCTAAATTTGACACTTTTTGTAAATAGCCGGCCTTCGGCCGGGGCTTGAGATTTTCTTCTCTGGGTATGTCCCACACCGACTAACGCGAACCAAAGTTTTCTAAATTGGATACCTTTTGTAAGTAGCCGGCCTTCGGCCGGGGCTTGAGATTTTCTCCTCTGGGTATGTCCTACACCGGCTAACGCGAACCAAAGATTTCTGAATTTCATTCTTACGCAAAATATACCTTTTTTATTGAAAACATAGTTTTAATGAACTGGTTAGAATCGGGTTATGCGGATGGAAAGACCCATATCTCTGGACTCAGTAAAGGTATTAGCACAAATTGAACCTTTTTGGAAAGGTAGAAGTGTCAGCTATAATTTGGCATCAATTTTGTTGTCCCCCATAATGGACCCTTTTTTGACTTTTTGGGGGTTTTATAAAAAATCCGGGTCCAAAAAATCGATAATTTGACTATAACTTCCGAACCGTAAGATCTTACCCCATCATGTGACCACTTGTTGGATAGGTATTTTCATAAGCTTTCCAACGATACCCATATTGTCTATATCGGGTAAGTGGATCCGGGTCTAGTAGGGGTCTCGAACCCGGACTTTCGGGTCAAAAATCTGGGGTCCCAGGTCCGTCCCCCAAGAAAAAAATAGTTTCCCGGGATCATGGTTAAAATACCTACCACTGAAAAAATTTTCGAAAAAATTGAAGAGTTTTTACTAAACTAGAGTTAAGCCAAATGTTTTTGTGGTGGTGGCTGGGAAAATGTTACAAGGCAAATGAACGTAAGGCTCTAATCCACAAATTTAAATTAACTACAAAAAAAAAAAAACAAATATTTTTGTGTTGCTGTTTGTTTGGTAGGTACCTACAAAAACAAACGAAATAAAAATGCCAACCAGCCAAGCAACCAGCCAGCCACCAGTCAGCCAGCCAGATAACCAACGAAATACAAAACACCTTTCACTTTATGAATATACACACAGAAATATTTTGCAAATATTTGTGAATGTTAAGAAAAGCAACCAAACAAATACAAAACAAGCAACTCAACAACAACAAGAGCAACAACCATGTACAATCATAACAATATTAAAACAATAACAAAAAAAAAAAAAGACAAGGAGAAATTAAACAACAAGCAGCCAGCCACCAACATAAAAAGATACCGCCCGCTGCAGCAGCAGCAGCATCATCATCACGATTGTAGTTTTTCTTTAAATTATTAACAAAACAACAATGCATATAAATCAAAATAATGGCACAATTAAACATAAATTTTTGCAAATTTAAAATAATTTTGTTTAAATTTGCTTCTCAAGGCTTTCCAAAAACAAAAACCACTGTGCACATTACAGGTACAACACACGTATACGAAAAAGTTGTTTACATTTTTGTGGCACAAGAAAAACGGCAAAAATAAAAACAACAACAAAATAAATTTCCTGAATTTTGTTTTGTATAGTTTATTTGTTTATCTAGCAACCCTCAAATGAAGAAAAGCGAAATAAAAAAAAAAAAAAACAACAAACTCGCAGCGCACGCAAAAATGATGATGAAAAAATCAGCCTCAATAACAACATTATATTATACACAACAAAGCAGCGGTGGCAGCAGCATTATCAAACAATAACAACATTACACACACGCAATTTCCTCTGTGAGAGACAAGTAATAATAACAACAATACCAAGCCAAATACAAGTGGCTCCAATGCGAGGTTGCGCA